AAAAATAAAATCTGTTTCAGTGATTTTGTAGATCTGTCCAACAAAACAGATGGAACAATTACAACAAAGAAAACCCCCCGGGGACTTTAGAGGCAGAACCACACATGAAATTCATCTTTAAAGGCAATTTTTATTATAGGAAAAAAAGGACAAAAAATCATAGAAAACCATTTATCTCCAAAAGAAAAAATAGCATAGTAGCTTTTTCAAAGTGATAATACACATATACAATACAGTACAATACAAAAATAGATCTAAACCATCCTATTAGGTTACACCCAACCGATGCTTGGGATAATATAGCAAATCAATTTGGGTGAAAACTCCAGATGAATCCCAACATGTTTTGGAAAAGTATCCTTCTTCGGGGGGGAGTCTGGGTACGGGTATCTCTACGATATAGCATATCAACAAATTAATCTCAAAAAAAACTCATCTTGAGAGTTGACAGCAACAGATTCCAAATGCAAATAGCACACTTGAAATGAACTCTGGACCTTTTATCTGCTCATTGTAATTGGGATAATGAGGGAATAACACACACCTGGCCATGGAACAGCTGAGAAGCCAATTGTCCCATTACTTTTTGTCCCTTAACAAGTGGGAGGCATATATGCAAACTGTTGTAATTCCTACACCGTTCACCTGATTTGGATGTAAATACCCTCAAATTAAAGCTGACAGTCTGCAGTTAAAGAACATCTTGTTTGTTTCATTTCAAATCCATTGTGGTGGTGTATAGAGTCAGAAATGTTAGAATTGTGTCGATGTCCCAATATTTATGGACCTGACTGTATGTTTCTCAAATGTGAAAAAGTACACATGTGCAAAAATAAGTTAGGCCGTAGGTGCTTGTTTATGTCCTAAAATATATGCATGAGATGTACAGAAAAGTATAGTTAGATGGGGCTGATGTTCACCAAAACACACCAGGGTCGGCCGCAGGGCCCCCAAGAGTCACATCACAAGGACCTCCCAAATGGCACAAAAGGGAGGAGGTCTATAATATCTATAAAAAAAAACAATACATATGTATAGAAGTAAATCCCCATTTAGGACTATGTTAGAAGGTGAACATGTCAATACATTCAACACCAGCAAACATAAAGATGTAAGTGAACCAAAAGCCCAGTGAAAAATTAGCTATAACAGAGTAACAGAAATCCTAGGTATCGAACTAACTATATACAATATATACAAATGGGGATCACAGGAAAAAGTATAAAACTGCAGGTACACAGAGCATACAGGTAGGTGGAGCCAAAGCTTGGGATCAGGAGCAAGGGGGAGTAGAAAGAAGGCAGCAGGATACAAGGTAAAGGTACTAGACAGAGAGCACAATCAAAGAGCAGGAATTAGATCATGGCTAGCAGCATCTGACAGCAAGCAAAACACTGAAGAAAGGTATATCAGAAAAAGGGGGTCTAAATACCCTCCCAGCAGTCAGCATCAGGTGATGCTTGATTACTGGGGTCAGGTGGTTGCTGGGAGGCACTCGCTGGTGGTCATTGGAGCTACAACCTTCTGATTTTGGAAGAGGCAAAGCTTGGGATCAGGAATAAGGTGGAGTAGAAACAAGGCAGCAGGATACAAGGTATAGGTACTAGACAGAGAGCACTTTCAAAGAGCAGGCATAAGACATGCTGGTAGGTTAATAGGATCCTGTCTAATTTCTAAATTGGCCCTAGTATGTGTATGTATGGATGCAAATTAGGGACCTTAGATTGTACTCCCCTTGAGGGTTAGGGACTGATATGAATGTACAATATATATATATGTAAAGCGCTGCATAAATTGACAGTGCTATATAAGTACCTGAAATAAACAAATAAATAAGATAATGGCTAGCAGCATCTGGCAGCAAGCAAAACACTGAAGAAAGGTATATCAGCAGAAGAGGAACAAAATACCCCTCCCAGCAGCCAGCATCAGGTGAAGATTGATTACTGGGATCAGATGGTTGCTGGGAGGCACTCGCTGGTGGACATTGGAGCTACAACCATCCAATTTTGGAAGCAGGGTGCCACCAACAGATCTTGACAATCATACTGGCACACACACACTGACCTCTACACTTTGGGGTCCATTCCTCCAGTAGAGGTCAGCGTGCATGTGCCAGTATGATTGTCAAGACCTATTGGTGGCACCGTGCTTCCAAAATCAGACGGTTGTAGCTCCAATGTCCACCAGCAAGTGCCTCCCATCAACCATCTGATCCCAGTAATCAATCTTCATCTGATGCTGGCTGCTGGGAAGGTATTTTGTCCCTCTTCTGCTGATATACCTTTCTTCGGTATTTTGCTTGCTGCCAAATGCTGCTAGCCATTATCTTATTTATATGTGGTTGTTGTGTACAATCTGACACCCACAGGAGTCTCACTTATGCTATTGAAGTATTTTTCTTTGGCAGTGTCCGAGTGCTCGAATGGTCAGTCTGCCCCTGGCTACAACCTTCTGATTTTGGAAGCACGGTGCCACCAGCAGGTCTTGACAATCATACTGGCACACGCACACTGACCTCTACACTTTGGGGTCCATTCCTCTGGTAAGCCTTTGATTTATATGTGATGGTTGTGTACAATCTGACACCCACTGGAGTCTCACTTATGCTGTTGAAGTATTTTTCTTTGATAATTTGTATACAATATTGAAAGACTGCCTCGGCGGTTGAAATCTCTTCAAAACTCTCCCCTGAAGAAGCCCTTGAGGGCGAAACATGTAGGGAGTAACTACAATTATATAATCAAGTTTGGATTTCGTTTCCACACTTAGTACTGAAATTGTTTTTATGTTTCTGTATTTATTTCTTTGTTTTGAAAATATGAAATAAAATTATATATCTTTTTAATATGTTTGGTATTTATGTTCACGCACCCTGAAAGTCCCATCCTTTCTATTGAATATCCTTAATTCTAAGCATATCTGGTCACTCGCTCACCACTTTACTGTTACTAAATGTAATATTGAAAGGTATGAATAAAAACAAAATATCTTTTAAATCTTCTTGATGAATGCTCTGTCTTATCAGAGATGAGTCCCTGTACAGAGAACATGAAACCTCTTCCTGTCTACATAGAAGGTAGAAATAACCCATCTACTCATCTACAGATCAGATAGCTATACACTCATATTTACAGGAAGAGCAGATGAAGTCGCGGTTCTCCTGTAAATCACACAAAGTTCCTGGGGCATGTTTGTGTTTTTGTTTAAAAAAAATATAAAATATCAGAATAAGACGCTATAAAACCCGCCAAACTGCATTACAGCAAATCCAAACCCAAGAACATCAATGTAATATATTGCAGCTTATGAGCCCTTAGATGTGGCGGTTGTATTCATTTTATTATTCTTTTTATTATTATTATATGCCTCGCCCAGTGATCCTGCCAATGGCGCTCTTCCTGTCCCAAGGTCACTCTAGGTCTGGAGGTGTATTAGGAGTACAGAACATCTTCTGTCTCCACTTCTCTGTAATATGGGGGGAGGGTTAATAGCACTGTTTGGGGTGACCCCACAGAGCACTCAGAACAGGGCTGGAAGGATTTATGGTAAGATCAACTGGAATGTTTTGACACTTATTAAACAGTGGTAACAAAACACTTTCAACTGGGTGGCACAGTGGCTTAGTGGTTAGCACTTCTGCCTGGCAGTACTCGGGTCGTTGGTTTGAATCCCAACCATGGCACCACCTGCCTGGAGTTTGCATGTTCTCCCTGTGCCTGTGTGGGTTTCCTCTGAGTACTCCAGTTTCCTCCAACACCCCAAAACCGTGCAGTAGGTTAACTGGATCCTGTCTAAATTGTCCATAGTATATGTATGAATGTGAGTTAGGGACCTTAGATTGTACACCCCTTGAGGGTTGGGGACTGATGTGAATGTACAATATATATGTAAAGCGCTGTGTAAATTGATGCCGCTGTATAAGTACTTGAAATAAATAAAATGTTTATATACAAGAGCAAAAGGAAGCCAACAAGACCAGTTCCTTTGTGAGGTTAAAGTGGATCTCCACCCAAAAGGGGAAAGTTCTGCTTTAAGGCTTCCTCCACGGTTCCCCATTAAGGATTGGCACTTTTAGGGACGGGTATGGCATTTTGACAGATACCCACTCCAAATTCTGCTGCAATCGCCTAGGCGATCCAGAATGGAAGTTCAGCTACACCCCTCCCCCTCCCCCCCCGCAGTCTTTTGGTACATGTGACAGGTCCCCGAGGACTGCGGGACCATGCACAAAGCGCCATACACAGGGGGCCTCCAGCTGTCACAGCTGGTTGCCCACACTTAACCCCTTTGCGCTGACCACACACAAATGTGCAGCCTCCCAGCGTCTGGGCCTAAACGCCAAGTGTCCGCACATTTGTGTTCATGTAACAAAAAAACCTAATGTGCTGAGAGCGCGCCCTGCAATTGGCAGTTTTCAATATTTGGCAAATCTCATAATATTCTCTGCTTGAGATAATAAAGCATTAGGAACAACATTTTAGAATGAACATATCCTGAAAATATTCTCAAAGCCGATAAGGTCTCCATGGTCTGTATTGTTCTATAAATGTAGTCCCATCTCAGACCAGCTGAGAATCTGACATTGGTTTGGTTTTGCTCTTGGAGTCCGTTTGGGCAGATTCCTCGGTGAAAGCTCTCTCAAATATTGACCGGAGGGAGCTTTTGAATGCCTGTGTGAAATCTCGACCCATAAAGACGTAGAGAAAAGAATTGACAGAACTGCTTATACATTCCAAACTGGAGGTAATAGGTATTCCAACAAAAATTTTGTAGAAAAGGTGATCATTTTCAGCATAATTTGCAGTAAGCTCCAAAAAAGAGAAGACATGGTAAGGAAACCAGCAGACAAGGAATGAGATGATAACGGCTAGGATAACTTTGAAAGGCTTGCTTGATGTGGTCATGTGATTTCTTTGGATACGGAAAAGAATTACTGAATAGCAAAAGATGATTATGGTGAAAGGAATCAAAAAGCTTACAATAAATCTAATGATTACTGTAGCCTTGTGCCTTGAATAGGCAATGTCCTCATCCGCATGAAAGTTGTTATAACATGAAACATAATCTTCTGCATTATCGTTTATATCTCGGAAAATAGCATAAGGTATACTGAAAATGAATGCTAAGATCCATACTGCCCCGGCTACTAAAGAGGCCAACCTCGGAGTTCGGTGATTCTGACACCAAACAGGAAACACAACGGAGATGTATCGATCAACGCTGATCACGGTGAGCAGGAAGATGCTGGCGTACAGATTGATGAATAGAACAGTGTGGTTCAGCTTGCACATGAATTTTCCAAAAGGCCAGTGAAAGTTAAGAGTGACATGGGTAATGCTCAACGGTAGGAAAAACGAGAAGAGAAAATCAGCTATGGCCAAATTAAGGAACCACACAACATTGACAGTCCGTTTCATTACAAAGACGGTAAAAAAGATGACCACACCATTCCCGATGGTCCCTACTAGGAAAGCCACAGAATAGATCACTATGAAAAACACACGAAGAATGAATGCTATACATTCCAGTCTTTTTTCCTCTTCAGAATAGTCTTCATCAGTGATTGCATAGTAAGCCCAAGGGATTGTAGTCTCATCTTTAAGAGTAACAGAGTTTGGATAGTCCATTGTAAAATTCTCCAATGTCCACAAAATAGATTAGAAGTTGAAATATTCTGTAAAAAGAAATGTAAAAGCTTTAAATCCAATCTTATTATTGGCCAGTGACAAGAATGAAAACAAAAATATATTCTACTGTCCACTTGCAAAATAGGGCAGTGACTGCAAATTTTTGTAAAATTGATCTGAAAATGTATGCAAAACCAACATTTTTTTTAGTTTTAGATAAAGTAGGGAAGGCTTAGAATATATAAGATTTTCAATATTGTCTTTGTCCCCACTGAGAGATTTTTCCTCTCTTTGGTGACCAGGCCACTGTGATGGAAAGTGCCTGAAATATTATAATTCTGAGTCCTCACCAAAAATGGAATAAAGAGGAAATCTTCCAGTGGAGACACTTGTTCGAATAACAACTACCTACGAGGCAATTTCCCCTCTCACTGCTCTTACTTGCAGTCTTAACTACAGGACAAGAAAGGAAGACAAATTTGGGGCACAGATAGCAAAAAAGAATCTGTCAAGGGTATAAACCAGTCCTTACTTCCGCCAAAAACTACAAAAAAGTTGTATTTCTTTAAGCGATTCCCCCAACACAAAGCCAACCCTATAAAGACATGGTTTGATGAGCTTGGTGTGGAGAAAATCTAATGGCCTACAAAGAGTCCTGACATTAATAGGTTAGTTCCCCTTTATGGAAAAAACATAAGGGTGAATTAACACCGAGCACTTCCCCCACCCCTGGTCCCCACTGTACTTCCCTCTGGGGTTGTCAAGCTGTCAGCACCCCCTGTAGCGGCTCCAGCTGTCCAGGAAAGTCCACTCCCTTCTTGATTTTCTCCATGCAGCTCTTCCAGGATGGGCTAGATTGAGCCCCTGGGACAACTCTGGCCAATTAGAATCAATCTGGTCCAGCAACCCTGGAGGTAAGTACAGTGGGGACTGGGGGGGTGGTGAGGGTATTCAATATTAGCTCACCTTTACATTTTTTCTGTAAACATGAACTAATTTGTTACCCTACTGAAAACCTTTGGGATTTGATGGAACACTGGTTTTGGGCCAGGTCTTCTCATCCAACATCAGTATCCGACCTCACTAATTCCTGTAGACACACTGCAAAGTAATGTGAAAGCCTATCTATAGAAGAGGAAGCTGTCATGTCTGCCAAGTGATGAGTGGTATCTTTATATTATTGACTATGGTTTTGAACCGGAACGTCCAACAAGCTCATATAGGTGTGATGCCCATGTGTTCACAATACTTTGGCCATAAAGTGTATAAGAAAGTGGGATTGATTTACTAAAGAAGTAAAGGAAGTTCACTTTGCAAAGAGAATATTGGTGAATAAAGCAAACCTGTGTTTACATTCAATATCCAATCATGTGCAAGAGAAATTAAATGAAGATTGGGTCTTCAAAGTGAACAAAGGTTTCCCCTATTAACCAACATTCACTCAGCCAAGTGAATAGCTTCTACTTCTTTAATAATTCAACCTCAACATGTATACCCACATACTGTATATGTATTATAACAGTGTTTTGGTGTAATGTAGTTTTGTTAGTCATCACACTTGTTCTTTTATGTACAGTCGTGCTCAAAAGTTTGTATGTCCTGGCAGAAATCATGAAATTTTTGGCATTGATATTGGAAATATGACCGATCATGCCAAAAAACGGTCTTTTATTTAAGGATAGTGATTATATGAAGGTATTTATTATCACATGCTTTAGATGTTTGGCTCCTTTTTAAATCATAGTGATGTGGTGCTGATCGAAAGTTTCAATCTCCTGGAATATTTGGCCTTGGTACAGACACACAAGGTGACACACACAGGTTAAAATGGCAATTAAAGGTTAATTTCCCACATCTATGACATTTTAAATTGCAATTAGTGTCAGTGTATAAATAGTCAATGAGTTTGTTAACTCTCACCTGGATCCACTGAGCAAGCTAGATACTGAACCATAGGAAGGAAAAGAACTGTCAAAAGACCTGTGTAACAAGGTAATGAAACTTTATAAAGATGGAAAAGGATATAAAAAGATATCCAAAGCCTTGAATATGCCAGTAAGTCCTGTTCAGTCACTTATTAAGAAGTGGAAATCTTAGGGATCTCTTGATAGCAAGCCAAGGTCAGGTAAACCAAGAAAAATTGCAGCTACAACTGCCACAAGAATTATTCGGGATACAAAGAAAAAACCCCACAGGTAACGTAAAGAGAAATACAGGCTGCTCTAGAAAAAGATGTGTGTTTGATTGAAGGAGCACAATCAGGGGCGGACTGACAATAGGGCATCATGGGGCCCCTGTGTTTTTGCTCAAACTCAAAAAAACCTATGAAAAATACCAGAGGCATCTCATGGGGCCCCCTACTGACCCCGGGCCCTCGGGCAGTGCCCGAGTTTCCAAATGGTCAGTCTGCCCCTGAGCACAATACAATGATGCTTGAACAAAAATGAGCTGCATGGTCGAGTTGCCAGAAAGCAGCCTTTTTAGCACAACTGTATTTGTCTGAGTTTTACTTCCCTTTCATAAAATTTTTTTGATAAGTATTGATGTTGTCAAGAACCCACAGAACCGACTTGTAAGGACACTAGGAAAGAGGATGTTGAGGAACTTTTTTTTTCATGGTTTGTGGAGCAATGTTCCAGTGTCCAAAATCCTGCTACACAATGCTGACCTGAAGATTATTGCAATATCTAGAACAAGAAATGTTTCCTAAACCATGTTTATATTATGTTTACACCAAATGATGACACAATGTACAGTTTATACATTTTAGTTCTCTTGAAATTAAGTGTTGGTTTAATGGACAAGGATTTATATTACACTGATGATCAGTTAAGAAGATCCCCCTTTATGTTGGTGATAAATGAAACATACCCCTTACATTGGACAACAATGGAACAGTAAAAAAAAATCATAAATGGCCATCAATGTCTCAATTATACTGGGGATCAGTAAAAAAAAGACTCTTTTAACTGACTTTTAATGCTGGGACTGGTCTAGTGATAGGTATTAGGGTGCTGTTTTGGTCTCCTAGAGTAACTCACACACCCCAATCAGCTGTGAGCCCCACTTAGGCAAGACAAATCTGAAAACAAGGGTTCCCATCTTCTTGTTGGACAAAGGTATACAAGTCCAAATGGGCCAAGCATTTGGCCCTTCATAAGCCCAGGATAACAGAATGGAGGCACCACTGACAGCAAGGATTTCAATAAGGGTCATTCACTTTACTGAAAGCATATCTAGAGCTAAAAACTGTTTTAGGTTAGTATAGAAAAAGGAATTCAAACCTCTTCCAGTTGTTTTTCTTTTGTTTTTTCTTGCCCACCCAGATGAGTTCTAGTTACGTCCTGCCCCAGGCACCCAATGGGAACTCTGTACAAAGTAAGACAAAATCCCCCATTGGGCAACAGTCATTGGAATATTTTGGATTTCCCATCCTTTTCCAGTGACAATGGTCACCAGAAGACGATGAGAGGGTGAATCTTCCCAGAAGCAATACAGAGAGCAATATATACTCAACAGGAATTTCAACTCTTTCCCACACTCTCCAAAACTTAAAGACTTTTTGACTTTAGAAATATTATAAAAAGCTAAGCTTGCCCACTACGAACTCTGCTCCAACCGGGTCCTCTGGGTCTTTTTTTTTTTTTTGTTGCCCACCCAGATGAGTTCTCTAGTTATGTCCTGTCCCTGGCACCCAATGGGAACTCTGTGCAAAGTAAGACAAAATCCTCCATTGGACAACTGTCACTGGAATGTTTGGATTTCCCATCCTTGACTTTTCCAGTGACAATGGTCACCAGAAGACGATGAGAGGGTGAATCTTCCCAGCAGCAATACAGAGAGCAATATATACTCAACAGGAATTTCAACTCTTTCCCACACTCTCCAAAACTTAAAGACTTTTTGACTTTAGAAATATTATAAAAAGCTAAGCTTGCCCACAATGAACTCTGCTCCAACCGGGTCCTCTGCCTTGGGGCTCAAAGCAATAAAATGGGCGGCTATAAGCTCACAAATCTCATATTTACTGCTTTGCCTGAATAACAAACTGAGTGAAGTGTCACAAATTACTATTCAGTTGAGCGTCTTTTAGCAAACTTTTTTTTTTTTTTCACAAAACCATAAATATACTATATATATGTGCATCGTTTACTTACTTGAATATTCCTAGTCCCGATGTTTCTCTTTAGATCCCTTTATGAATGTAATTGCTTCTGCTGCTGAGACACATTTATATATGCAGATGGGTTTGACATCACTTGTTAGTTTATAGGGAAGTTCCTGTAACATCCTGTTTCAAATATGTTATTTATTGCTGTAGATTGATCTATAGTGAAGCATCGTCTATGTCACATACACTCACTAGCAGGGGCGGACTGACAACTCATGGGGCCCCCGGGCAATAGGGGATCATGGGGCCCCTGTGTCCTTGCCCAAAACTCAAAAAAGCCTATGGAAAAGGTACCAGGGGCATCTCATGGGGCCCCCTACTGACCCCGGGCCCTCGGCCAGTGCCCGAGTTTCCAAATGGTCAGTCCACCCCTGCTCACCAGCCACTCTATTAGGTCCACCTTGCTAGTGCCAAGAAAATCTCCCCGACACCACCAGCAGCATGAACTGTTGATCCAAGGCAGGATGGATCCATGCTTTCATGTTGTTTACGCCAAATTCTGACCCTACTATCTGCATGTCGCAGCAAATGGTCTGTCCATTCTCCTCTGACATCAACAAGGCATATTCTTCCACACAACTGCCACTCGCTGGATATTTTCTCTATTTTGACCATTCTTGGATGGTTGTGCGTTGGAATAGATCAGCAGTTTTTGAAGTGCTCAGACCAGCCCATCTGGCATCAACAGTCATACCACGTTCAAAGTCACTTAAATTCCCTTTCTTCCCCATTCTTATGCTCAGTTTGAACTTCAGCAAGTAGTCTTTACCACGTCTAGATGCCTACGTGCGTTGACTTGCTGCCATGTGATTGGCTGATTAGCAATTTG